TATTCTTCAATCAACAACACCCAATTGGGGAGTTCGCTGCTGCCTTCTCTGATCTGGATGCTGCTTCCACTCATCTTATCTATCCTTCTTGGGGGTTGCTGAGAGGTAAGCAGGGTCTCCTTGGAGCTGAACTGGCTTCAGATAACATGCTTAGCAACAGAATGTTGGAATCAAACCAACCCTCTGTGGTGGTCTTGGTGGTCCGGTTCCTGAGCCAGGCGGGTCCGCAGTATTCCAGGGCCCTGGTGATGAGATCACAGGACCTGGAAGGGCAAACCAGTCATTGGGGGCAGGGAGACATCCCACTCAGCTCTTGTTCCTGCAAGCCAAAGCCCTAATGGGTAGGGTGATCCCTCGCTTGACAAGAGGCTGGAAAGAAAAAAATATCTTATCATTCTATTAGTTACAGTAATGTAACTAATATTTTCCTAACTAGCAAGAACCGTTCTACAACTTAATTTTCCCCAAATGTCATCTTAAGCACTGCATCACAGTTCAATGCTGCCTGCTGTTCTGCTGCTTGTTGGAAACTTTCTGCAATCACTTATGAATCTTACTCAGTCTTTATTATCTTTATTTCTGCTAGTAACTTCTAAAACCCCACAAGTTCACTGAAAGCTTCTAAATATTATTTTAGTGAAAACAAATTCTAAGTGTTTTTTTCGTTTGCATCAGGCAGTCATTTCTTTTGGTTTGTTGCCAAAGCTGTTTGTCAAACTATTGTGAATTCTCCTTTCCATCACCTTTCCATCCTGATGGCTCAATTGCTAGCTTTCTCCTCTAACTATTCTTATTGACCTTGCCAAAAATGTTCCCTTCATTGCTTCATACTGTCTACCAACATGACTGACATCAGGTTTTATCCTCAACATGTCTATTTGATTTTGCATTCTCTGGAATCAAATAACATTGCCTGACCTGATAGTATCACTCATATTATCTTCAAGAAATCTGCCTCCAAACTTGCTCCTGTCCTTTGGCGGAGTCCCGAAGTGTAGTGTTTAGAGAACTTGCCTCAGGGTTTAATTCCCGGCAGACCTCAGGCAAGTTCCTTACTCCACACGCCACTGTTTACCTAGCAGTAAGTAGGAACCTATTTTTTAGTCAATTGCGGATCGCTAATCCGGGGGTAATAATCGCTACAGAAAAATAATAATAATTTGATCACGCAATCCATGACTCTTTGTGGGACACTGCTGTGCTGTGCACAATTGGTTGCTGCGTTTTGCCCACAAAATATGTGGTAAATTCACTTTGCAGTGTATTCTGCGAAGCAGTTTGAGACGTCTCAACAACTTGATAAGGCACTATATCAAATGCAAGGATTATTATAGGCTTATTATTACCAACTCTCCAGACTCTCCTCATCCCAAGCCCCATCTTCTCTCCTTAGAAGTTTGTTCTAGTTTATCTTTCAAAAATGAATATATCAAGCTATTTTTCTTACAACTGTAGTTTCTGTATTCCTTGGCAATCTATCAATGATGCTATTATAATTTGTTTCGCTATTAATGATTTTCCTTCCAATCTTATACACTTCTGGAAACCTTCTTTTGAGTACTTTTTAGTGCCAATACCTTGGACATTTCCAAAGCTTTTGACAGGGTCTGACAATATGCAAACAGGATGCTGTGCTATATCGCCAAATCAGTTGAGGTTAGATCCCCAGACACCACACTTAAATTGTACTGTGCTTTAGACAAGTCACACCTGGAGTAATGCGTATAGTTCTGATCTCTATGACACAAGGGGGCTGCCCTGGCGAGGATATAAGCGACAATTAAACAGGTTAGGTTTTTTCTTTCCTGAAAAAGATTTCAAAGGGGAAAGTATAGAGGTATGCAAGATTTTAGATGGGATTAAGAAATTAAACCCAGAACAATGCAATTGAGACACCAAAACAAGAGGGCATAGGTGTAGTTGCAAATTTGCAAATGGTAGTTTCAGGAGACATCTGGGAAATATTTCGTTACTTAGAGAGTAATTCACAATGAGTAATCACCCAGGGTGATTTTGAGGCCAGGTTGCTGGACTCATTTACAAAACAGCTTGATACTGTAAGCGGAGGACACAAGGGTTGGGTATTCTCGAAAGATGTGATCAAATGGAGCGAAGGGCTTTATTCATCTGAACCTCTCTTGTGATCTTTTTGATACTTCCTCTTAATAGTGGTCGTGTTCTGGTATCCTGTGAATAAGCAGGTCAGTCATAAAACAGAACTAGTTACTTTCTTTCAGATTAAGTAATTCTGTACATGGCAACACTAAATTTACAAAGTTTACAAAGATTATAAAGAATGTACAGCACGGGCACAAGGGCCCAACCAGTCCGTGTCAGTATTTATACTCCACATACTCTTCACCCATTCCTTATTCCCTCCTGTACCCTTCTATTCCCCTCTCCCTCATGTGAAAGTCTAGCTTCCACTTGAATGCAGATTGGGAAGAGAAAGATCAAACAGTCTTTTTGAAAAAAAATTGCATTTATATAACGACTTCCCAAGGTGTTGGGCAATGAAGGGGTTGCACACAAACTGTGGCATGGGATCACAGAGGGGTGGAGGGCAAGGGAGGAGGTAAGATGACCGAAGACTTGGTTGAAAAGGAAGATCTTGAGATGGGCATTGAAGGAGAGGGGGGAAGGGGGCGAGGGGCTCCAGGATTGAGTTACCAGAGGGTGGTGGCAGAAAGGCTGAAGACCCAACTGCCAATAGTGGAGAAGGCAGGACAGGGATGTGGAGTAGACCAAAACCTGTAGAGTGGAGAGAGTGAATAGGTTGATGAAGTTTTAATAGGTCGCAGAAATAGGAATGGTACAAAACCTTGGAGGTCTTCAAAGCTGACGACAAGGATCTTGAATTCAATCCTCTGGGGGATGGGGAACCAGTAAAGCCGGGCGAGGGTGGGGGTGATCAGTTCACAAAGCATAGCCCAGGAGAGGACACAAGCTGGGGAGTTCTGAATATGCAGCTTGTGGAAGCATGAGTTGGGAAGTCCAGCGAGCAGGGAGTTTGTGTGGTCAAGCCTGGCCGGAATGAAAACATGGAGGGGGAGATAATTGATAATATTTGCAACAGTCTTTAGTTTTAAGTCCAGCACCAGGTCGAATTTAACACCTCAGTTGAACTTTGGACAAAATAAGACAAGGCACACTTTATTTCGTACAAGGAACATTTGACAAAATAACATCCATTGGATCTGGTCAACACAGGAATAGGAACATCACAAACCTGAAATCTATCAGACTTATCAAATTATCACATTAGCAGAAAGGTGTCTCACATCCATCACAAACTATCACCGACTAGATAGAGAGAAAAAGGTTGATGAAAGTGGAACACTCATTGCACTGATTAATTCCCAGTGCCAGCACTGTCTACCTATGAGGTAAATTGTTTTCATAAATTAATTGATTTATCTTCAGGATAATCTGGCAGTGATACTAATTCCAGGAAATCAGCTTCGTAAATAATTTACTCTCATAGGTTTTTGTTTCATAGCTGAGAGGTTGGCACCGCATTTGCACTGCAATTAGCTGCAGTTAACATCTGGGGCTGTTCAATTTCTTCACACTGAAGATAGTCATGCTAGATTTAGGCTTTTGTACAGTAGCTTTTGAGATTCCGACCAGAATGAGAAATGAGCAGTTATGAAGCAGTAGGAGTCTTAGCTATGCAGTATTTTACTGAGGGTTGCATTTCATCACAATCATAGTGAACCATTAACATCTTTTTCCCAGAGAACTTACTACCTTGGCTCTTTTTACATGTGAAATACATGTGAAAGGCCATTTAACTAACTTATACCTTTGAAAAACTGCATCCATGTTACCTGTGGCTATCTTGGCATGGGGTTGAGTGGTTATTGGTTACCCTAATAATCTCTCAGGTGTCTCAAGACAATATACTCGATAAGAAAAAAATGGCTTGTTCACTGCCTTGCATTATAATACATAATTATAGTGTAATTGCTTAAATAGCTATCAATGATACTAACGGTATCATCATATAAATAAATTAGGCTTCAGTATTGGCATTACTCCATCTGGTCCTTTACAACACCATGTATCTAGGGCTTTCCTGTCCCTCCTGTCGGCAAGTTTGAAACACATTGGAAATATATTGCTGGGACATAACGCCCATTTAGATATCAAGCAAGACTTAAATTATTAAAAATATTTATGTCCAATATATTTACTTCCCTTGTTTCTGGTTCCTCCAAGCAGGATAGTGGTCATGTTTGGAGCATAGCCTTTATCAGAACTTTGGTTCATTCCAGTCTGACCAGATTTAGTTCTGGATTTGTTTATTGTCCATTTCAAGCACTATATTTAGTGGCTAGGTTGGGGGAGTGAGAAGAATATTCTATTACATAGGCCTTTGGTGTAGAGAACAGTCCTTTGGTGCATTGTAGTCTTATAAAAACTCTTTCTGCTTGACACTGCACACCTGGTGCATGCCTTTTTTTTAAAGGAGGGTATTGAAAGAACTCGGTGTCAAAAGCTACCACAATTCGCACTGAATTCTAATTGTTTGTCATTTCCTTGAATCTATGAAAGCAACTGCAGCATCAATTCTGGCTTGTGAACAAAGACCTCAGAAAAATAATTCCTCAATGGTAGTTTGTTGCAGCAATGACTTGGGGTAATGGTTGAGGATGCATATTATATGAGGGTGTTTGTTCAGGGCAAAATTCAAATGCTTTCAGTCCATTGGGTTGTGGACAAACCATGCAGTTCCGTAGAATGTAACTTTCCATATCAGACACCATAAAGAATTCAGTACTATTTGGCAAAGAAATCGATTGAGGGATACAAGAAAAATACCTAGTTTTTTTTACATATTGACCAGATGGACCAGTAGTCTTTTCCAGGCCTGTACATTCCTATGCTCCTATAAGGAAATATAAACAGTGTGTAACCTGCTATAAATGTCAATCTTGAAAGAAACTTAATTAAACCTATTCCATTAGATGCAGTTGAAAACATCTGGAAGCTGTACATTTGTGCATTAAGGTGCATTTCAATAACTTTCATTTATTCAGTAATTTGCAGTGTTTTGCAGAATAAAATACAGTATAGATTGGTAATATATGTATAAAGGTTATACAATGTTCATAATTTTAACAATATTCTTCAGGCATTTAAGATCATATAAATTCAGATGCTGTAAATTTGCAATAGTTTTGAATACAATTGTTCAATAGCTATGAAACTGATGGGTGACATGCTCAGATCAGAATAAGCCTTGCCCCACACTTCCTATATACCATGAGAAGATGTCAGTGCTGGATTTGTTCTGATTCAAGCACCTTTAGCTTTCAGTGTAGACAGCAGGGAAATCAAATTATAACCTTATGATCTATTTTCCAGAGCAAATTGAGTATATAATGAGACTGTGACTATATTAACAAGCAACTTGAGTGCTTTGAATATATGTAAGCCTTGAAACTCTGGGTGTTTGTGTTTTCACAGCAATGCTTAACTAACTCTATTCAGCGTTTGAACAGGACCGAGTACACTCAATTTGCATCATATGAGCATCAAAATAACCTTAAGAAAGACTTTGTTACAGGTCGCTAACACATGTGAGACACATCACCCAGGTGACTCAGTTGGTTGAATACCAAACTGGAGATCAGAAAATTCTGTGTTTCCCCTCCGGAGACTGATGTAAAACCAGTCCCTCAAGAAAACAATAATAAATTGGTCACTTCAATCCACGATTGTTTGTGGGACACTGCTAAGCGCAATTGACAGCTATGTTTCACCCACAGATATACGGTCAATTCACTTTACAGTATATTCTGTGAAGCGTTTTGAGACGTCTAGAAGATGTGAAAGGTGCTATATCAAATGCAAGGATTATTATTTATTATTATAAAATGAGTACCATGTTTAAATAATATCTTTTCTTGGAGGAGGAAGCAAAGTCTCCCTGGACTTGAACCGGCTCCAAGGTGAAATACCTGGCAAAGACATACAACTCTGAATTAATCCAAAGCCCTGTTGATGGGTGTCCAGCCTAGATCATTGAGATTTGGAGGTGCAGACAGATCCTGTAAACTACCAGCCAAAACACTTGCATGTAGGAGGTTCCTGATTTGTCAAATACCATGAAACAAACCAGTGATTTTCAATGGTGAACTGTGAGATCATAATTTTGTGTAAAACCCAGAGTACAACACCATGTTTTCTATTGTCTGCTGCTGCAGTTTAGGAATAACTTGCGTGGAATGAATATCATCCCAAGGCAGACACACACGCCCATTTATTATTTGAAATACATTTACAAATTCAGTCTAAAATGAGATTGTCCAGGATTTGGTACATAATGGCTCCACCTGCTGGTACAAAAGAGCTTTTTAGGATACAGAAACTGAACAGAATATTCTGATTCGTAAATCAAGGGGACAAATGTTCTTTTAGGTGACTTAAAGGCAATCTTGAAGGTCGATCCTCAAAGGTTATTTCTAAAACACAACAATCTTTGGCGCTTTACGTTTTGCTTTTTGAGCTTTCGAAGACACTGGGATTTCTTGGTAATCAGCACTCATTCCTTTCCTCCATCGGCCAACGGTTAAAACACTGTCACCTGAAGAATGAGAAATTACAGAATTGAGACAATTTTCAAAACACAATTTTTGGGGGAGAAATAAAACCACCACACTGTGGTGGTGATGTCAAGAGATGTCAAACTTTGTTGTATTGAGGAGTGAGAACGGCAGTGAATTGATGTAATTTATTTTTAATGTAGCTGTTTCAAAAAGGGTAAAACTCTACTCTAGGGTTTTGTGATTAACTCTTTACATTCTATAATAGCATTCCCTACAAGCTCAGACAGGGCTATTTTATACAACAGCAGCAATCATCTGAGATAACTAAATGGTGTGCTGCACTCTGGAGTGCCAAAATGCAGTCCTACAATGTAGTATGTCACAGGATTCCAGAGCTATGCTGCTTCTAGGAGGCCATTGAAGGAAGTCCCAGGAGCTCGAAATTCATCTTAGCCTTAGCCTGCAATACTAGTTTGTCTTAAAACTTAAAATTGTAGAAAAACGTAAATTCAGTCTTAATCTGGTTCTTTTTAAAACCCTGTAGAGGGGACTTCCAACTTAATGAATTTAAGAATCTTTCACAGTTCTAAGCAACTTAAACTGTAAGGCCAAATAGTATATCAGGGACTCAAGTTTAGCCTAAGTGTGGAGCAAGAGTCATCATGGCCAAGCTGCTCTCAAGCACCTTCTAGACACCAGACTAAACCACCAACAGTGGAGAGCTGGACAAAGTGGCATATTGGCCACTCAAATTAGTCTGCACATTTGAACAGGAGGAGGTCATTTGGTTTGTTGTGCTTATTTAGCCATTTTATTAAATCATAGTAGACCTTGGGATTAATCTCCTGGCCTTTTCTGCACATATCTTAATATCCTTAATTCCCAAGTATCTATCTCCTTCTAAACATCCAACCCATTCTGTAACATGTAATTTGTGAACATCATATAGGACAAAGCAACTGCGACATCTTCCTCATGGTTGAAGGTTTCCCCCCGTACTTCCCTTTATTGTTTGGGCAAGTATTTTAAGTTTTGCTCTCTTGTTATTGAACTACACTTGACTCTGTTTAACACATGTGCAATAGGGTTTTTATTTGCACTTGAGAGAAATATAGGCCTGACAGAGAAAGGGTAATTTCTACATGCCTAATAGTACATAGTACGTAGGTCCCTGCAGTGTGAGACACACTATAGTACACGTTCCATGATGCTACACAACTTCAGGTTGTCTGCTCGTATCATCTTTACTGGTCTTTCATTTAGATCGCACCATTTGTCACACAAGAGTAAGTCACTGAAACAAACAGGATCATAAAAAACATATTGATCGAATTATTACCCTTGAAACTCAGTCCCAGCATTTAATGTCTGTTTACACTTTTATGATAGTTTGCTCAATCTGTCTGAAAATAATTAGATTACAAAGAGGTCCCCTAAGAAATATCAGGATGGACATGATAAAACAATAACTTAAAAGTATCTTAAACCTAAAATTCCTCTAAAGGCAGGCAATTATATTGTACTGAGCCAGCAAAATAAGAGTGGTTTGTGAACTACAAAGAGCAGTTGGTTAACAACTGGCCTTTTGTGTAGGGACCTGGGCTTGAACCCACAATGCCAGATAAACTGGATATAAAGCTCTTCTCTCTGCCAACTACATTAAATTATTTTTAGTAACTCCATCACATCTAGAGAGGCCCAATGCAGAGCTGCTCACCATTGACAGTGATTCCAAATCTGGCAACATCCCTCATAGAAATTGTAAGGATGGAAAAAAACTACTATTTTGTTTCTGTATGGTATGCTCTTCTGATCCAGATGTTAAAGGTATAGCACTGGCCAGAGAAGTTCCTGGTCTTCCCCGGTAATGTATTCTACAAAATTTTAGCCACAGGAACATTCAAATAGATTTCTTATTTCCTAGGTTTTAACATGAACTTGAACCCTTCACTGTAGTGAATAATGGATCTGGATCATCTCTGTAAATTCCCTTTATAATTTTGAAAACTTGGGTCACTCTGACATCTCTTTTCCAAACAAGCCCAACCTTCGTACCCTTTCCTCATAACTTAAAGTCCTGATACTTGAATTATGTTTGTTGCTGATCTCTATACCCTCTCAAGGGCAATAACTTCCTATATTAAGTCGCCAGTACTACACAAAGAGCAATTGAGGTGGAGACTAACTGGTACCTTATATGCAATACAACTTCTTTTTAATTTGTATTATTTAATTTGTATTCTCTCTATGTTAATACAACAGAGGAACTTATTTTCCAATTGTTAAACACTGGCAAAGCAATGGGGTTGACAAGTTTCATAGACATATCCACAATAAACCATCAATGCATTTCTTGATAAGAAGACTATAAATGTGTTCTGTTTAACACATACACTCCCCTTTTTTGGTTCGTTACTCTCATACTGATTTGTATAATATATAAACGTCATAATCTAGACCGACACTCCAGTGCAGTACTGGGGAAACACTCTGCTGCAATGTTGGAGGTGCCATCCTTTGGATAAAATTAAACCAATCTGCCTTTTCTGTTTGGTTTAGGCAGATATCAAAGTTGCTATGGCATTATTGCGAAGAGCAAGGAGTTCCCCTGGTTTCTTGGCCAATATTCTTCTCTCACCTACACCAAAATATCCCGTTTAAACATTCCTGTTTGTGTGACTTTGCTTGTACAGATTAACTGCCATATTTGTATCCATAATAGTCAACAAATTTCAAAGCATTTCATTGTGTGAATCAATTTGACATATTTCTCTATGCTTTATCAAATGCAAGTATTATTACAATAACTGTGCTCCCTGCCTACGCACTATGGAAAATTGCAACTCTATACAAATATCCTCTGAACAACCAGATACCACTAACAACAACAACAAGATTACATTTATATAGCGCCTTTCATGTTGGGAGGACGTCCCAAGGTGCTGGATAGTGTACAGCATTCAGATCCGAGCAGGGGTCGGGGGGGAGGGAAAGTGGGGTGGTTGATGGCATGGTCGAAGAGGAGGGCCTTGAGGCGGGACTTGAAGGAGGCTAAGGAATACATGATAATACATGAAAGAGAGGGAAGCATACGTGAGAGAAGGTGTAGAGGAGTATAGGGGGGAGCCTAGGCTAGTGAGAGGGGTTAAGGATGGGTGGAGACTTATGTGGATTATAAACAACATGGAGTAGATGGGTTGAATGGCTTGGTTTGATGTTGTAAATTCTCTGTAGTTGTGAACAGGAGACCTAAACTAACCAATTAAATTGGTAAAATTTGATCCCTGCAGTCAGTCCCAACCACAATTACAAAATTAACCTATAATAATAATCATAATCCTTGCATTTTGATATGGCGCTTTTCACGTCTATCTAGACGTCCCAAAGCGCTTCACAGAATATACTGTAAAGTGAATTGACTGTATATTTGTGGGCGAACGCGGCAGCCAATTGCGCACAGCAATGTCCCACAAACAGTCGTGGATTGAAAATGACCAATTTTATTATTGTTTTGTTTTTTCGGAGGGATTATTATTAGGCGTGTAGAGTAAGAAAACTTCCCAAGGTTTCGCCCTGCCTGGAATTGAACTCAGGTCTCTCACTTGCAAAGCGAGTGCTCTAACCACTGAGCTGCAGGATTTCACTATACCTTCATAACGTACCAGACCATTGCTATCTCATCCACGTGGCTATTCTTTGTGTGTGAGCCAAGAAAGTAACCTTTGGCAGACAATTCAACAGTGACTAAATCACCGACAAAACCAACCTATCCCCCCTCCATCCCCCCACCCCCTCCCCCCTGCCGACTGCCATACTTGTCCATTTTCAAGCTGAGAAATCTGAAAGGGAAATTTTTTTCCTTTATTAGTCCATAAGCCCTGAAGACAACTCTAAACATCAAAACTGATACCCTAGTTGAGATATACTAACACAGTTTGGACCATGATCCAAACTTGCTACCTTCTGCTCTTGGCTAACAACCAAATATACAGCACAGAAGGAGGCCATTTGGCCTATCATACCTGTGCTGGTTTCTGGAAAAGTTATTCATTTTATCCCATACTGTTTTATATTTCTGCTTTGCCAGATATTTATCTAATCCCTTTCTAAAAGCTAATATGTATTCTGCATTAACCACTATTCTAGGTAGGTCATTCGATGTGCTAATGACCTTCTGTGTAAAGAAAAATCTAACTTATCTTTGTTCTTTTAGTATTTACCTTAAATCTATAATATTAAGTATTAGTACTATGGTATAGTGCTAATATTGTGTGAAGCATTTGGAGACTTTCATACCCACTATGCCACTGGGTGAGCTAGATTATTCTGTGGGGGTTCAAGGCAGAAAATTCCATCTCTCACTCTGTTTTCCTCCTTCTGGTTCTGGTTCTGATCCTCTGGTTCCTCGGGTGACTGGTGCTTCAAAGATTTACAAAGAATGTACAGCTGGAAAAAGGCCATCGGACTAACCAGCCCATGCAGTGTTTATACTCCACACAAGTCTCCACCCACTCCTTACTCCCTTCATATTCTTCTATTCCCCTGTCCCTCGTGTGAAAGGACAGGGGACAAGCCTCCTCTTGAATACTATCTGATTCAACCACCACTTCAGGCAGTGAGTTCCACAAACTTGTTATCCTCTGCATGAAGTACTTCCTCTTAAATTCTCTTTTAGATCCCCTAGTCACTACGTTATACTTGTATTTCCCTCTTAAACGTCTCTTTAGCAAAAAAAGCCTAACCTATCCAGTTTACCCTGACAGCTGTAACAAGGCAGTTTCAACCAATTGACAATCTTATAGCAACAAAGCTCTGAAGATACAAATCTGGCTTTATTACACCTGTAATTTACACATACTCAATCTTTTCATCAATGTATTTACATTTTGAAGGTACACAAGAAGCATCGGACTGCTTGTACCACTGCCAATGACAGAAATGATGACATTAATGGTGTGTTTTGGTGCCATTAGTTAGCAATTATAGCATTGAATAGTCAATTAGTTCTCCAGGATCAATATGTAGTCTCCTCTGAAATCCCAGTGTAATTCATGTTTTGTCTTACTTACTTGTGTTCTGATGCTCTGGGCAGTCTTTCTGAAAATGCTCCACTGAGCCACATAGCTTGCAACACCGTCCTGTAAAATAGCATCGAACAAACAATTTAGCAGGTGGCCTCAAAGTATTGAATATCTTTCAGCATTTGCAAAACTGCAATAAAAAAAAATATTTGGATGAGATTTTCTACCATAAGTTAAGTTACATCTCATTCCTGAAGAACTTGACTACTAACTGATGGTAATGCCATCACTTTTCATGTCTCACTGACAGTTTTAGTATAACCCTGTTTGCTGCAGTACTTGTTGCAATCATACATTACTTAAAAAAGCTAAACAATTGTGTAGGGTATACATTACAACATTGCATTATGAAAGAAAACACATTTCTTTCACGATTTGGCTCATCGTCCCAGTTCTAGCTATGAGTAGAAAAATTAATATTTTACTATAAAGGAGAGCTGATTAAGGAGATTAAGTGTTTTCTTTGTGAGGGTCAATTTCTGACAGCTCAAAATGTATGACTTCCTCAATCAGCTCCTTTACCCATGTCCTCAGCGCCTAGTCAAGCCTGGTTTGGGATAGCCATTGCAAGCTCCATTGAACCATACATCAAACAGAATTGTTTTTGTGGTTACTCTAAAATGTTCTGCATTGAAACCCAGTTACAGTGAAAGACCACATAGTGAAAAGTGCCAATCTCCCAATTCATGGGTTTGGGAATTCCAAAATTACTTCCTGTTTATTGTGAAAACAAAGCACTAATCTTCCATTGTTGAACCAATAAGGATCAATGGCTTGGAACGTATAGATCAATGCAAATTGATGTCCAAAGATGAAGCACCTAATCTATTTATGTACACTGACTGACTCTCTTAATTATGCCCCTTTAAAAGTGTTAATTCCAATCCGCCTACTGCAAACAACCAATTTCAAGATCACAGTCGTCCTTACGAAGTACACAGTTGTCTCAGATAAGGCTCACAACCTAAAAGGCACAGCAGTTCCTTTGAAATAGTCTCTCTGAATCAATGTCAAGAATTCAGCAATTGTGAAGGAACCAAACTGTTCAATTGAACTGGCTGCTTTCTCCATTTCATCAAACCCGAGCATTGCTGACTGTCAGTTGATAGAGTGACACTCATTGTGAGACAAATGTTGTACTACCAAAAAGATTCCACTGCATTTAGAAAACTACAATTTTAGCTATTTTGTTTCTGGAGATCATTAGTACAATTATAAAGCAGATGGAATTATGGGGTTATACAGTTTTTAAGTGGAAACAATCACTAGTGATGAATGGACTTTTTGGATTTTGTGCCTTTGAAACAAGAAATTCTCTCTTTTTTTACTGGTGGGTCAGAAAGTTCTGAGCTTGCTGAAACCCCAAATACCAAATTTTCTGAACGTATGAGGAGTCATAGTTGCCTGAAACACTTCTTGTAGAAGGTATGATGAGTTTGACACTATTTCAAAAGAGAAGGAAGTTTTTCCCAGTGTCCTAGCCAACAAGCATAAGAACATAAGAAAGACATTCAGTTTGCTTTCCACTGTCCTTGCAATTGCATGACACGTTGTGTCCCAAACTACATATTGTATGCCAAGATATTATTCCTGAGACTAATAAGCAGTCACTAACCTAACAATTGCTTGGTGGTATTGCTGGTGCTGATACTTTTGATGAAAAAGTCACAATACTTGAGAGTGCTTTTTGGCCTTTCAACGGAACAAAGTGCAATAAAAATGCAAGTTGTTTTGTTGCTGGGGGCACACATGACAAAACTTTATTCCAAGTATTGTACTCACACAAACATCTGAGTTATCCAAATACTCACTCATTTCGAAGGAGAAAATAGAAATGTCTAATTTGATCTTGGGAACAGGATACTGGAGACTGACTTTGCAAATTACATGAGCACAGGTTAGCTAATTATCACTGATCTAAGACTTATAAGCACATCCATCACAGAAGTTGGTAAGACTGAAAATCAGAGTTGTTGAAGCTCATGAAATTCAAAGTAGAAACTATTACACGGATTTTTATGTTTAAGGGAACTATCTGGACATAACAGCTGTTATATTAAATGCTCAAATCCTCAATTCTCATTGATATTTATCAAGTGTTGAAGATAAGACCAGACTCACAAAAGTAAAGAAATTAACATGAAGCTGCCTCTAGCATTTGACTGGTCTGCGTTTTACAGGGAGACCAGGTCTGTTTTAATTGGCGTCTTACCAACTTCTCTGCACCTAAAGGTGGGATATTCTAAGCACATAAAAATTGTATTAAAATTTATCAGTCAAGACTGAAGCATAAAATGGTTATGCTCTAAGACTGAAAATACTACAGATTAAGACTGATCTCTCCTTCTTCCATGCTTACGAAACTTTTTTTTTTAAATGTGTAAGAAATCGATACTTTACACTTTTCTATTTATTGCTGCTCATGGCCTAAAAGCCACAGCGGTGTTTTGAAATAGTTTCATTCTCAGCAAAAGTGTTCTCCAGCACCTAACTGTTGAGTTCACAAAATAAGTTAAAATATATTATCTTTCATTATTATTGTTTCTATTTAATTTAGATTAAATACTGAATATTGTGTGAAATACATAACTCCTTCCCTCCCCCAGATATTCCTACCTTCTGCATAAAGTCCCTTTGGGTTGTCCGGGCAGGATCTCGAGAGATGTCCTACTTCTCCACAGACAAAACATTTAGCAAATGGAAATTCTCCTGTAAAAATCAAAGCAGCATTAGTTATTGACATCCTTTGAGGTAAAAATACCAGTTCTGTGTGTGTGTTTATGGGGAGGCTGTCAGCACATTATGTGGATATGGCGATTTGGCAAATAGTAACAACTGATACCTCCCTGGATCAGATTAGTTAACTCAGCACACACCAGAGATTGAAAGTGGGACTATCGTGATCCGTATTGTTCAATTCCACACTGGACAGTAACTTCATCAGTGGAGCCATTGGGAGCTTTCAAAGTAATTTTGAACAGAACTCCAATTCACACACACACATATCTATACACACCACATTTATCCCCTTGTGGTAAGAACTTCCCCAACTCAATTAGTTATCCTGTCTTCCAAACTCATGACGTTAAAATAATAAAATGGTATTCTCAGTAAATAGTGCTAATATTCTTCATATGAGCTAAATTGTGCCTTTACTTTTTTATGCCGACATAGCATAGTTAATGCATATATGGGGTTATATGGAAGGACTTACCTAGAGCAGGATCAATTTTTGCTCTGCACTTCAGAATCTCATGTTCTGTGGAGCCACATCGATAACATATACCACTAGCCACCTCTTGTTCTCCCATGTCCATTTCTGGGCAATCTCCCATCCCATGCCCAGGTTTTCTGCAGTGGAAACATATCTAGAAAAAGGATGAAAACACATCTATATATAACTGGCTACTTAGACTACAGAGTAATCATTTCAGAATGGAGTAAATCATCAGATCAACTAGCCTAGCCTTCCAAATTTCCTTAAGATACTCTTGTATATAAGCAGATGATCAATTAATAGTTTGTAAGTGGTCACTAATATCTCAATAATGACGTTTCTGCACAACAGTCCTGCCTCCTTCCACCTCAAACCTAATATGATATTTTATAAAAATATAACCCTAAGCAGCATACTCAATAACATCTACACATCATTTTTTAGGATTGTCCATAGTTGGGCTCATATACCATTGGCAGTCAGCAATATTTAAAGTGGTTCAATCCAACAGGTTGTTAAAACCATGTTGGCATCACTTAACTACTACTTCTTGATTTATCTTGCCTTCTCTCTGTTCTTTTCAACATGATCTTACACTAAATAATAATAATCCTTGCATTTGATATAGTGCCTTATCACGTCTTCAAGACATCTTAAAGCACTTCACAAAATATACTGTAAAGTGAATTGAGTGTATATTTTGTGGGCAAAATGCGGCAGCCAATTGCGCATAGCAGTGTCCCACAAGCAGTCAATGAGTGACCAATTTTATTATTTTTTTTTGAAGGAATTATTACCCCCGGAAAAGCAATCTGCCAATTGACTAACAATCGGGTTCCAACTCGCAAACAAAGGCGTGTGGAGTAAGGAAACTTGGCCAACGTTTCGCCCTGCCTGGGAATTGAAACCAGGTCCTCTTGCTTGTGAGGGGAGTGCTCTAACCACTGAGCTACAGGACTCCACCTGTAATGCTGTGTCAGTTTAGAATACAGTAAATTCCCGATAATTCAACTCTGTATTAACTTGTCACTACCACTTAAATGATCACACTCTATATATCCCAGCCGCATTAATGTATGTATTTTTACATATGTAATTCGCCAGTCCTGATAACTCATCACTAAGACCTTTTCCCTTGGAGTGATGAGTTATCAGGAGTTTACTGTATAATTCGACTCCAAGTGGAATCACTGCATTTTACTGTAAATCTAATTAAACACTTTGAGTCATTTTGACAACGTGGTAAGGCGCTACATCTAACGCAAGAATTATTAGCATAAAGATGAAATATATGTTTATAAATATCAAAGCAACTCAAAGCATTTAGTGTAATTGTCTTATCCAGTATAGTGACAGTCGCTGCTTTTGTACGCAAACATGGCAGCCATTTTGAGCACTGCAACGTCCCTCAATCAAAGAAGTAAAATGACCAAATTATCTGATAGGTTGTTTGACCAGACATCCAGGTGAAGCTCCTTTTTTTTTGTGTCATGATGTTCACCTGAGGTCAAGCAGTCATGACATTGGTTTAACATTTTATCCGACAACCCCTTTGATAACCAGCTCTCCCCCAGTACTGCACTGGAGTGTCAGCCCAGATTATCAGCTGTCCATAAGTGGAATTTGAACTCACAACCTGCTGACCTAGAGGCGAGTATGCTACCAACTGAGTCAAACATTTAAAAAAAAAGCGACAGAACAAAAAGACACGGATTAATTCCTGACTTCTCGATAACATAACTTTTAATCAGCTTACACTTAGACAGATGTCAGGTGGAGGCTACATTTCCGCTGAGGAATTATGAAGGAAATAAATAAGATGGTGAAACATCTTGGGAATCAAGAGCAGCGTTAGTACAGATAAGGGAGGACACTTCACTGACTTTTCTCTGCCAGGGCAAGAACAAAAAGAAGACAAGAAAAACAGCAGGAAAGCACTGAAGGTAATGGATAAGATTAAAAATGGCAATACAAGCACTTGGCAGCGGCCTGTGGGTTGCCAGAGTGCTCATTTCTGAATGCAAATTCCTTCAGCTATAAAATTAAAACCAAGACCAGCACTGCTGCTGTGATGATACACTTCATTAAAATTATTACACTTCAGGTCAGAGACTGAATGAATACCAGATTTGTATTTCTAGTATTAAAGTGCATCTCATGCCCAGCACAAGATATTTTGACGTCTAAAAATTTTGTATGTCACATTTTTAAATCTGCCCCTGGAATTCACGATTTGCATATTAAAAAGCTCTAATTAATGATTTCAATATCCCGCTGATGACTAAATAATTCTAATTTTAAACATGAATTTCTTAAATTTATTATATTGATCCTGTATGGACGTCCAGTAATTTAATGCGCAAACAAATTGTAACTAGGGGCAGGAGGACATGGGTTGGTGCACAAGATTTCCATTAAACCATCTGAGTTGTCAAGGAATAGGTAGAGATTAAACAGACACTTTTCTGTGGATTTGTTTCAATATTATTTCAAACTCCATCCCAGACCCTTTGCCTCGCTCCTTCCCTTGCCTTCTTTAAGGCCCTCCTCTTCCGTCATGCCTTTGGCCACCCTCTTATCCTCCACCCTCCCTGATATCAACCCTGCTGCTCAGGTCCAAATCCCTGACTTTCGAGCGACTTGGGATGTCCTCCCGTCATGAAAGGTAATTTTGTATTGTATTATGGCAAGCTATTCCAGCTACGAGCTGCCAGAATGTTAAAATGATAAAAAAGAAAAAACACTCTGGGAAGGAACAAACTTGAACATTTTAGCACCTTTAACTTCAATATGCTCCAGTGTGCTTCACGCAATTATTGTCATGGGTAGTGACATTTTTTTTTGTTGGCGAATATGGTGATTTATGACTTTAAGTCAGCACAGGATTCCACAAGATTGGTTACCCAATTGTACTGAACTGTATTACATTACATCTACACTATAGGAACTGTGTTTTATAATTTCCAGCAATGTGTGTCTTTAAGTGAATGGTGCAATGGAAGCAAAGTCAGTTCAATGGGACAAGCTTTTTTTGAATGTTGCTGATTTCTGCAAAAAACCTAAATTAAGTGGAAGAATTTGTCATGAATAATAGTTCTTTAATGATGTTATCATATAGATATATATACATATATATATAGAGAGAGAGACCGATAGACAGCAAGATATTCTGTAAGCTTTCTGGTGTTCAATCTGAATTTGAGTCTGATCCAAGGAAGTAAAAGTAAGCCAAAATTGACAGCTCCGCCCAATCATTATTCAACTGTTGAAAAGTTAGTTCCATAACTAGTAAGCACATATTTAAAAGAATATGCCCAAGACTGGCCATTCAGTGGTCTCATCTATAACATGTTCATAAATTCATATTCTTATTTTTTGGAACATTTGATAAACTTTTTATGAATAATAATGCAATATGTGTCTCTCCCTTCCATCCCCCATTAATGAAATACTTATCCTAATCAAAATATGGTTGCTGAGACACATTTCACGATGCCTAGCTTCAGTGCTCTTCACTGAGCTCAATGGTGCACCTCTGTCATTGTAAGTTGCTTAGTGTAGTACAACTTGAACTTGTCTAATTCCTAAGGTAACTCGCAATAATTCCACACTCCATGCCCTATTGGTTAAAAGGTGATCGAACACAGCATGCAGATATACTGGAATCAAAAGTCCACTTTGACAGTTTTTTAAGTGTATAAGAAGTGGAATACAACCTGCATTTCTCTGACTATTTCTCAATTGCTCAGATACTCCTATGTTTTCAATGGGAATTCAGTGGGAATTGAGCGTGGGGGGGTGGGGGTGCGAGAGGGGTAAACCAGAGGCAAAAAGTGATTGTGGAGCATTTAGTTTATGTTAATAAACCTACGAGAAGCATCTACAAACAGCTATAGTTTATTTGTTGCTGACCAGCCACCACTTAGCAGCCTGCAGGTTATGAAACCTGCTAATGATGTTCATCTACTATAATGCCCACTGGTTTGTGAACCATCAGATAATGAATATGTTCCTGTATGCTTAACATATAAAAATACTCAGTTAACTTCTCTACAGTAAATCCTATAAAGTGCTTTGAGACAGTGATGATGCGATAAGGCGCTATATCAAATACAAGGATCATTATTAAAATCCAAGGATTATTATAACAAGCAGCAGTGTATGATCAGAATCTCATAACTGTGAGCCTTCTAGATTGCCCTCCTAAGTATGATGATTTTCCACGCATGCTTTTCAGCCAACTTTACCCATTTTCCTCACTACCTGAATGACTCTTTTTAAACAGTGCTGCACTTATACATTCAGCTTGGGAGCCGCTTTCGATCACTGTTACTTGATGATTCATGTGTGGGTTTGTCTGAAGAATGTCAGGATTGTTTGGACAATGTAATTTGAAAGATTGAATTATTACTTATGCCTTAACATCACTAATCAGGATGTTATTACAGACAATCAGATGGTTCCAAACTCTACTGACATTAATAAGAGGCAATATTAACTAAATTATTGATGTATAAAGTCACAAGCAATCAAACATTTTTAAAATGCCACATAATGAGGATAAGTATATTCAGTATTTGAGAGCTATTTTCTGACTCTACATAATATCCTGGCTGTGATTTGTCAGTTTTCATCAAGTTAAAGTGTCAGATGAAAAGATGGGATTTTCTTTATGTTTGCTTAATATTCTTCTGCACCCTGGAGGAGTAAAATGTAGGTCTTGCTTGTAATTCGCTAAGCTCCTGATCTCATCTTGTTTCTCTAGGGAGTTATTAAATGAAGCCAACACTGTAGTACACTTATGACAGCATTATTCTCTGTGATTATTCAGTTTGTTTCCCCCTCCCACCCCATTAGAATAGCTGGTGTTAGTGATATTTTTCAGTGAAGCATTCTCAGTAATCTCATTTAATAATAATAATCCTTGTATTTGATATAGTGTCTTATCACGTCATTGAGCTGTCTCAAAGCGCTTCACAGAATATACTGTCAATTGACTGTATATGTTTTGGGCAAAATGCACAGGGGTGTCCCACAAACAGTCGTGGATTGAGTGACCAATTTATTATTATTATTTCTTTTAAGGCATTATTTATATGATTTACGACACATAAACAACAAGAATTTTAATTAAAAAACGTAACTCATTGTCCAACAGAAATCCATAGCAGATATAGAGTTACAACACTTAATCATCTCATATATGGGGATGATTTAATTACTTATCAGACCCTGAATTATACTATTCTCACAAGATTAAATTGGTGCCTTACACATTTTTGTATGAAATTCTCTCTGGGACAAAGCTCAGTCTAAAAGGTCAAGTAGCACTTCAACTGGATTTCTGAATAGGGACAATGTTAATTGGATAAAGGCTGAGAAACAGTACACCTGCTTTTTTTTTTAACTGTCTCAATTTCACTTTAAGGCTATATACAAGGTCCTCTGGTTTCTCATTCTTCATCTCCATTTCACTGCAGCCTTGCTAAGAATAAGACAACTACTCTATTACATTTTACAATTTACATTTATATAATAATAATTATTATTATTATTTACCTCTCCGACCTATTATCCCCCTACTTACCTGCCCGTACCCTCCGTTCCTCTGGCTCTGGTCTGCTCCACATCCCCCACCCCAACTGCCCTACCATCGGTGGTCGGGCCTTCAGCCTCTCAGCCCCGAGGCTCTGGAACTCCATCCCCCCGTGCCTTCGCCTGCTTCCTCCCTTTCCTCCTTCAAGGCCGGTCTCAAGACCTTTCTCTTCAACCGTGCCTTCAGCTCCCCTCTCGACTCTCTACCTCCTACTCGCTCCCTCCCTTCCCTCCCCTCACCCTGACCATTTCCCCCTTGCTCGGGGCCCGACCCAACTGTCCAGCGCCTTGGGACGTCCTCCCGACGTGAAAGGCGCTCTATAAATGAAATCTTGTTGTTATAATTAATCCTTGCATTTGATATAGCGCTTTTCACATCTTCTAGATGTCCCAAAGCGCTTCACAGAATATACTGTAAAGTGAATTGACTGTATATTTGTGGGCGAACGGGGCAGCCAATTGCGCACAGCAGTGTCCCACAAGCAGTCGTAGATTGAAAATGACCAATTTTATTATTGTTTTTGGTTTTTTGGATGGATTATTATTTGGAGGGATAATGCCTTTCATGTGGGGAGCATGTCTCAAAGCACTTGTCAACATCAAGAACTTGCATTTATATACCTCCCTTCACCGGATGGAGAACTTAATTGCTACCTGGACAAATGAGCTGGAGGTGGGTGGCAAGGGGTGGGGAGGCGAACGATGACCAAAAGCTCAGTCAAAAACGTAAGTTCTGAGCTGGGCCACGAAAAAGGGTAGGGAACAAGTCGGAGGGAGCAAGTCGGAGGGAGCAAGTGAGTCAGAGCAACTCTGGGAGATCCAGAGTGACAACACAATAGCTTAAAGCCTGCTTGTCAATGGTAACGCAGATAGGGAGGGGAACATTAATCAGGCCATCATTTGTGGAGTCCTGTAGCTCACTTTGGAGTCCTGTAGCTCAGTGGTTAGAGCACTCGCTTTGCAAGCGAGAGACCTGAGTTCAATTCCAGGCACAGGGCGAAACCTTGGGCAAGTTTCCTTACTCCACACAGAGCCTAATAATAATCCCTCCGAAACAAAACAATAATAAATTGGTCATTTTCAATCCACCACTGTTTGTGGGACATTGCTGTGCGCAATTGGCTGCCGCGTCCACCCACAAATATACAGTCAATTCACTTTACAGTGTGTTCTGTGAAGCGCTTTGGGACGTCCTCCCGACGGGAAAAGCGCTATATCAAATGCAAGGATTATTATTATTTGCTGATTGAAGGTAGTGGCTGGGTTGGTATGGTTGAAGATTGCAGAGGTTGGGGGGAGTGAGATAGTGGAGCGATATGAATGTGAATCGAATTCAAGATCCTCATCTTCACTTTCAAGGCCACCTGTGGCCTTGCCCCCTTATACCTCTCTGACTTGCTGACTCCCTAACAACCTACCCGCTCCCTCTGTTCAGCGGGCTCCGGCCTGCTCCATGTTTCCCACCCGACCTGCCCTACCATCGGTGGCCGGGCTTTCAGGCTCTCTGCCCCCACACTCTGGAACTCCATTCCCACGGCCCCTTCACCTCGCTTCCTCCCTTGCCTCCTTCAAGGCTGGTCTCAAGACCCTTCTCTTCGATCGTGCCCTTATTCACCCTCCCACCTCTCTGCCTTCCCTCATCCCTACACCACCCCTCCCCCATCCTCGGGTCCTGACACCTGACTGTCCAGCGCCTCGAAGAGTCTGGTGCAGGAGAGTATACATGCTGCAGAGCACTGGATGTACTGATTAAGGTAATTACAGTAATGAATAAATGCTGAGCTTTCTTACTGTGACCTCTGAATTTACTTTAAATTGAAAATTTACCATGGCATTTTTCTTCTGAACCTGCCTCTTCAGCCTTCTGTCCTCTCGTCTCTGGTCCTTTTTCAGAGCAAGTGCCGGGTCAATCGCTACTGTTTCACTGACGGCAGGTATCACTGTTCCCCTGTGGAGAACCTGACCAGTCTCCTTCAGATAATCCATGAACCCATTGACATCCTCACTCTGATACTCTTCTTTCTTGTGATACCAGTCACTTTCTTTGGGTTTAAAGGTTTCTGCCTTGTTACCACCTCTTTTGTTTGGCGGCCACTCTTGATCTGGTCTCTTTTTTGACTTTGCAGCATGTGGACCATTACCACAACCGTGTTTCATCTGGGCCCATGGTGTAGCTTCGAGGGGCTTCTTTCTGTGAACATTATTGGCACGAGCCCAGCGAGTCATTGCTTTTTTCCCCTGTCACCCTGCAAAATAAAAGAATGTTAACTGACCACGAGCAGTATAAATTTTACTGTAATAATTGTATAAATGAAGGGTATTGCCTGGAATTTGAAATAGGTTTACATTTTGATCATACAGCTATTGTGATCATCCAGTCCAAAGGACACATCTGCTATAGGTCTCCCTCGGGCCAGCATTTATGTAGATCTAGCTTTGCAGCCAAATGCTGTACTGAGAAAAGAGATACAACTTGGCAGTGGCTTGTGAAAATCGAGACAGCTGATTAAATGTTAAGTATTGCAATCGAACGATCCTATCAAACAGAATCAAGCATCTGACTGGTTATGTTATGTCAGTGTTTGAAGAGTACTGGCCTCTCTACACAATGGGACAAAATGTTAAGACAGCTATACATGCAAGACACACAACCCAGAATCGGATTCATCTTTGATGAAGTGTCACATCTAAACTTTGAGCCTAAAGTATCCTCTTGCTTGTTCTTAAAAAAACGTTGCACTCCATCACTGTTTATGGAACTTGCAATGCGCAATTTAGCTGCAGAGTTGGCTCACAAAACACACATTCGTTGCACTTGTCAGTATTGTATATCCTGTGAAATAATGGCTTTATGCCTATACTTTACAGTGAAAAGCAACTAGCTTAAAAGAGACCCAAGGTGTAGTTTGGCAAATCCATCGTGTTCAAATCCATTCACTCCCTGGCACCTCCCTACATCTCCGACCTCCTCACTCCCCAATCCAACAACCGGCGCCTCTGCTAAACTGGCACCGGCCTCTTGCTTGTCCCTCGCACCCACCTCCCCATCGTCAGAGGTCGCGCTTTCAGCCACTATGCCCCAAAACTCTGGAACACTCTCCCTCAATCCCTCCGCCTTGCCCCTCTTTCAAGTCCCGCCTGAATATTTTCCTGTTCGACCGTGTTCATGGCCACCTCCCACTGGCTCGGAGTCAGGCTCTGCCACTCTTAAGCGCTCTGAGACTCTATCCTGCGAGGAGGGCACTATATAAGTGCAAGTTGTTGTTGTTTTTCAGGTGCTGATCCACCTCTTAATCATTTCCAGCATTTTGTATTTTATTTCAGATTTTGCAGATCCCAGTTATTCTTTACCATTTAATAATAATAATCCTTGCATTTGATATTTAGTTGAGAGACAGGTAATAATATCTGTAGTAATCATCTATTTAGAAATGAATGATACACAACATGAGCTGCAGTTACAATAATATTTATCCTTGCAATTGATCTAGCGCCTTATCACTTCATTAAGACATCTAAAGCACTTCACAGAATTCACTGTAAAGTGAATTGACTGTATATTTTGTGGACAACATGCACACAATAGTGTCCCACAAACAGTCATGGATTGAGTGACCAAATTATTATTATCATTTATTTATTGAAGGGATTATTACCCCCCAGAAAAGCGACCCGTCAATCAACTAACAACTGGGTTCCTACTTACTGCTAGGTAAACAGAAGTTTGTGGAGTACAGAAACTTGCCTAAGGTACCTTCTCAAGAGCATAGTATTTTTAAATGTATAGTATATAATAAGAACATAAGAAATAGGAGCTGGTGTAGGCCTTTCGGCCCCTCGAGCCTGCTCCGCCATTAAATAAGTTAATGGCTGATCTGCTAACCTAATTCCATTTAGCTGCCCTATCTCCATATCCCTTAACCCCTTTAGTTTTTAATAATAATAATCCTTCCATTTGGTATAGCATCTTTTCACATCGGGAGGACATCTCATAGTACTTCACAGGACATATTGTAAAGTGGAGTATTTTGTGGGCAAGCGCAGCAGCTAATTTACAAACAGGAATGTCTCACAAACAGATGTAAAGTGAATGACCAATGGGGATTGTTGGCCAGATACTGGGAGAAACACCTTTCCCTTTTTGAATAGTGCCATGGATAGTTAACATCCACCTGAACAGGCAGGTGGGGTCTCAGTTTTCCTTATATGAAGGATGTGAGTTTCTCCCAGTGACTTGGCCAACAATCCCTCAAATTAAAAAAAATTGTTGCTCTCCATAAACTGTTTATGGGTCTTGCAATGCGCAATTTAGCTGCATCGTTCGCCCACAAAACACACATTTGTTGTAGTTTTCAGTACTCTATATCCTGTGAAATATAAGTTTTATGCCTATACTTTACAGTGAAAAGCAACTAGCTTAAGAGACAAGGTGTAGTTTGGCAACAACTTTATCTTGAACAAACTAACCAGATTATATGCGCTACATTTATACAATCTGATGTGTTTAAAGTTATTAGTTATTTATCCAGACCTATGCAGAAGCTATGGGGAGTGAAAAAAAAGTAAGGAGAACAGTAAGGCGAATATTGTCTGGGAAAGGACAAATTAGCTGAGAGTGTGATAGAGGTGGGGTTATTTTTATAATAATAATAATAATCCTTGCATTTGATATAGCGCTTTTCACGTCGGGAGGATGTCCCAAAGCGCTTCACAGAGCACACTGTAAAGTGAATTGACGATATATTTGTGGGCGAATTGCGCACAGCAATGTCCCACAAACAGTCATATGGATTGAAAATGACCAATTTATTATTGTTTTGTTTTTTTGGAGGGATTATTATTAGGCTCTGTGTGGAGTAAGGAAACTTGCCCAAGGTTTCGCCCTCTGCCTGGAATTGAACTCAGGTCTCTCACTTGCGAAGCGAGTGCTCTAACCACTGTACTTTTTGTACAGGACTTGAATGTGGACCTTGCCTGCTAGAAGTTTGGGAGATCAGAATCACAAATTCACAGACACATCAGAAATAGTGAATTGAGGAATACGAAGAAAACAACAACAAGATTGCATTGATAGAACGCCTTTCACGTCGGAAGGACGTCCCAAAGTGCTGGAAAAGTCTGGGAAATGGGACTGGAAAGATTTTTTTGGTCAGCCAGGTGTCTAACACATGCAGAAACCCATCACCATGCTTAAGAGTATTCAAACCAAACTGAGAATTCCATGCATCCCACCTACACATGGAAATTCCAGAGATAATTTGTTGGAATGGAATGCGCCCTCTCCCCCTGGAGGGACGCCTCCTGCTTACCTAATTTCGGAAAGTATTAGGCACAGGTTGGCAAGAGCCACAGCTTGGAACCCCAGAGTGTACGTTAGGGTATTGCTGGAGTCTAAACAGCTAAAATTACATAACTTGCCATTGATAGCGCTGTCCGGCAAGCTTTCCCGCTGCTTGTTCAGTTAGGACCACCCTACCCGTTAGGTACTAAAACAGAAGTTGCTGGGAACACTCAGCAGGTCGGGCAGCATCTATAGACAAAGGAAAGTGAGTCAATGTTTCGGGCCACGACCCTTCGTCAGAACTGGGGCATGTTGGGAGGGAGAGGCTTTTAAGAGCTAACAGAGAGAGGGGAGGCAGGGCAAGGAAGACAAAGAAGAAAGTGGGGTAGAGGACAGGGAATGATGGGTTAAAGAGGTGTTAATAATGCAAATCAAAGGGGGTGGGGGGGGGGGGGTGAGACAGAAAATTGCAATAAAATAGGCAGATTAGAGAGAAAAGGTGTGTCTGGGACCCAGATGATTGGTAATGGTCACAGAAGAGGGGGAGGGGGAAGGTGAGCTGTTATGGTCTGAATTTATTGCAATCAATATGGAGGCCAGAGGACTGTAAGGTCCTTAGCAGATAAATGAAGTGCTGTTCCTCGAGCTTGCACTGTGGCTCATTGGAACAGGGTAGGAGACGATGGATGGAGAGGTCAGAGTGCGAGTGGGAGGGAGAGTTGGTGGCAAAAAAACGGAAGCTAGGGGTTGTGCTTGCAGACAGAACGGAGGTATTGGGCAAATCGATCACCCAATGCCTGTTAGGGCTTTGGCTTGCAGGGTTAACAGGCTTGGGATGATTACTTGCCCCAGTGACTAGTCTGCCCTTCCAAATCCTGCTGATGAACAGGCTGGCTGTGCTGTCAGCAGAAGTGCCCTGGAAACTCTATATTTGCCTTCACTCACAATTCAAGAACCACTGACTGATTCTGCTCTGACTGATTCTGTTCTGACTGATTGCCTGTCAGACATCCAGTTCTGGATAAGAGCTTCCTTTAGTTGAACGTCGACAAGACTGAGTCGCTCCTGTCAGCACCTTCTCGCCTCAAATATCGATCTACATGGATGCCTGCTTCCCACCCTGCCCTCCTCCCTCCCCGATCCTGACCCGCAGCTCGGTTTCGAAGCTCTGTCTGTCCAGCGCCTTGGAACATTCTCCTGATGTGAAAGGCGCTATACAAACAAAATTTTGTTGTTGTTGCAACTCTACCTCAGAGCCGGTGTGGAACCTCGGGAGTCTTGTTTGACTCTCAACTGTCTTTTAAACTCCACATCTGTGCCTTGACTCCCACCTCTGCAACATTACCCACCTCCGCCACTACCTCTACCCTTGGGCCACCAAGACTCTAATCCATGCATTCATTACGTCCAGTCTAGATTACGCCAACTCTCTGCTTGCCATACTCTCACCTCCTCCCTTCATAAGTGCAGACTATCCCGAGCTCTGGAATTCGTGTTCTCTCCCGCACTAGGATCCATGAGCCTATCACACCTTTTTTTTAAAAAATCACCTTCATAATAATATTCCTTGCGTTTGATATAGCGCTTTTCACGTCTTCTAGACGTCTCAAAAGCACTTCACCGAATATACTGCAAAGTGAATTGACTATATTTATGGGCGAAACTCAGCAGCCAATTGCCCACAGCAGTGTCCCACAAACAGTTGTTGATTGAAGTGAACAATTTATTATTGTTTTTTTTCTTGAGGGATTATTATCAGGCGTGTGGAAACTTGCCCAAGATTTTACCCTGCCAGGAATCAAACCCAGGTCTCTTGTATCCGAGGAGAGTGCTCGGATACACCACTGAGCTGCAGGAATCCACAACTCGACACCACTGGCTCCCCATCCCTCAAAGAATTGTGTTGAAGGTCCCTGCCCTCAGCTTCAAATCCCTCCAGTCTTTCCGTGTCCTATCTCTGCAAACTTCTAAAACCTTACCGACCCGCCCGCTCATCGGGCACTGGCCTGCTTCATGATCCCCAACCGCCACATTATCACAGTCTATCTGCTCCTATCATGACGACAGCTCCCTCTAACATCCAAAACATTCCCAGGTTCATTGCACTGGATTGAAGATAATCGTTTTGAATGTATTTTATGAGCTGGGAAATGTTTAAGATCCACCTGAGCCGCTAAGTTTGGAGACGGGTTTCAATGTAAATGTGTCACCCATTTGTTATAAACTTGCAGTGAGTGACTCAGAGAGAAAGCCAGGGCCGAAATCACACAAAACTGATCAAACAAGAGGATGAATTAATTACAAATGAATTGTAAATTCACAGAAAATCTTCTCTGTGGTTTTGATTGAATTTCAGTCACAGCAAAACTTTCTTGAAATGTTTGCAATTGTCTCCCCCCCCCCCCACCCCACACACACACACACCCCACACACACATAACTCCCCCACACACACAACTACCCCCACATCCACAACTACTCCCACCCCCCCCCCACACACACCCCACACACACACAACTCCCCCACACACACCCACCCCCCCCACACTCACACTCCCCCCTACACACACACACACACACAACCACCCCACATACACAACTACTCCCACCCCACACACACCCACCCCACACACAACTACCCCCACATCCACAACTACTCCCACCCCCCCCCACACTCACACTCCCCCCCTACACACACACACACACACACAACCACCCCCACATACACAACTACTCCCACCCCCCCCCACACACACACCCCCCACACACACAACTCCCCCCCACACTCCCCCCACACCCACCCCACACACAACTACCCTCACATCCACAACTACTCCCACCCCCCACACACACACCCCCCACACACACACACCCCCCCACACACCCCCCACACCCACCCCACACACACAACTCCCCCCCACACTCCCCCCACACCCACACCCCCCCCACACACACAACTCCCCCACACACACTCCCCCCCTACACACACACAACCACCCCCACATCCCCCCCACATACACAACTACTCCCACACACACCCCCCCCCCACACACACCCCCCACACACACATCCCCCCCCCACATACCCCACCAAACACACACACACACACTTCAATATTCATCGTTAACACTACAACAGGATGAGAGATAAATCAATAAAACCACAAGACAATTAAATACATCAGACAATGATACATTACTATAAACTACCGACAATGATACATTAATATAAACTGTCATATCGGCTGAGGCTCAGCCTCGTGCCCCTTTTTTTTTACCAGAGAAGAACCCGCTTCCGGAGTCCCAGTGTAAAGGCTCCGTCCGCTCCTGCACCGGGATATTGGTTCCTACCCCGCACTGCCCTCCCCCCACAGGAGGAGACAGAGGCAGCAGCACAGTCTGACCGGGTTGGGCGGCTTCACGCCCAATTGGGCGGGTTTTGTTCTGTGCATTATAAAAAAAAGTCTCTCATCGTGTGCCTAATTTTTAACATTTTTAATTTAAACTTGCAAAACTTTTTTGTGCCTGTCATCTCCTCCCCCCCACTTTGATGATGACCTTTTCTTTGTTGACTTATTTTTTTCAACATTAGGACATTGTTAAGAGTAACCCTTCTGATGTCTGGACAATAAGAGAGATGGAATGAGAACAGACTATTCTGCCATACAATGCACTTCTACAGACCATTGGCAATCCACCATATTGCAGTCTCTATTACACCAATTTAATCTTCTGGAGGAACGTTTCTGCAGTTTCTCTCTCCCTAAATGTGAATCAAATAAACCTCTAGAATAGTTCTTCTATAAATCCCTGACCAGCTGCCATTCTCAAATTAACAATATCCTAATTTCAGCAGCTCAGGAAACATCATGTTCCGCACCGTATTGAATCATCTCATGTCATGTAAAGATGCAAAGGCAACCGAGAAGCACTAAGACAGTGTACCTTGGGAGGTAGGAGAGAAACAGATGGTTAGGAAAACGGTAACTGGATGGCCAGAGAGTCAGTAGATCAGATAGGTAGATCCAACAATTTGGCCTTTGGAAAAGTGATCTGTAGACTTTTAGAATATTACAGTGGAAATCTAATCATTGATAGACACGGCCTCTCCTGAAAGCAAGTTAAACATTCTCAAATGTAGATTTTTTTCTGGCACAGCCTGTACTTTTAGTTGTCTTTGGAGGCTGTTCCTTATACCCCAAAAACACCAGTGGGAGGGAACATAGATAATGCAGATGGAAACAGTGTATTTGACTTTGAATTTGAGCAGTGATCTATAGGAAACGTGAAATGTGAATAAATCTGAGGTGAGAGACATAGAAGTAACTGCCGGTATAAAACAATTAATGCAGTGTCATTTATCTCCCCTGAAAGGGTCTGGATAATATCTGGTTAGGAAAGGGATTGAAGGTTAGGGAACAAGTGTAGACAGATATGCTCAAATAGCCAAATGAAGATGATGGGTCCTATGTCACTGAGATCAGGTTACCTGTGGAAGGCAATCGTCTGGAATTGAATAATGGTATCTTTAAAATTGTGCAGGTATCCTACTGATTAATTTGATTGCCTTTGGGATTTGGGAGGAAATGTTATGTAATTCTTCCCTTGAGACTAAATGTGTTATGCAAAGTCCATATGGCAGATTGTACATTGTCTGTGGAGGAAATGGCCTGTCAGTCAAAATAAGCTTTTCTTATTTTACTTTTTCCTATTCATCTGCTTCATAATCTAAAAGATAATCTTTTTAATCTTTGTTTTGTTATGTTCATTTAATATAACAGGAACTGGAGAATTACTCACACAAAGCCTCTAGCCAAACATCAAGTTATCTTTGACCTGAACTTGTAATTTTATACCAGGGTCTGTTGGCCAGCCGCCAGTGATTTTTTTAGGTTTTAACATGGTACCAGCTTCACATCATCCAGTCAAAGATAAATATTAATAATCCTTGCATTTGATAAGCGCTTTTCACATGGGGAGGACATTTCAAATGCTTCACAGGATTTACTGTAAAGTGTAGTGACTGTGTATTCTTGGGCGAATGTGGCAGCCAATTTACGCACATCAGTTACCTACAAACCTCCATGAAGTGAATGACCAATTTTATCTGGGGAATCGTTGGCTAGAATATCGGGAGAAGCTCCCCTTTTTGAATAGAGCCATGGTATCTTTATGGTCTACCTGAACAGGCAGACAGGACCTCATTGTACCATCTCAACCTAAATATGGCATCTCCAACAATGCAGCGCTTGCAGGCCGACGCTATTAGACTGTCAGCTGACAGTCAGGCACCAGGAGAAACTCTCTCTTATTTTGAATAAAGCCATGGAATCTTTGACTTTCATTTGAACAGGCAGAATGGACCTTAGTTTTTAAAGTCTCATCTGAAGGGCATAACCTCCGACAATGCAGCAACAACGCACCACATCATAGAATCATAGAATTACACAGCACAGAAGGAGGCCATTCGTCCCATCCATTGTGTCTGTGCTGGCTCGTTGAAAAGAACTATCCAATTCAATCCCACTCCCCCGTTCTCTCTCCATAGCCCTGCAAATTTGTCCTCCCCAAATAATTATCTAGCAGCCCCAGCATCTCAGTGAAGTGTAGTACTGAACTATGAGATGGAAAGTAAGAGTTGAAATTTGGCGTAATGTTGCAGATAGTTTTGGTTTGGCCATTTCTTCAGTAAAAAAAGAAAACTGTTTTCCTCAATGAAAGCCTTCCCTCTCCTCTCTTCCCCATCTCCAGCTGGTCACCATTTCCCTGGTTTGCAAACATTGCCAGATCGTAGAGTCTTGAGCATGCTAATGTTACTCCAGCAATTCAGAAATGCTGGCAGTCAATAGGAACTCACAGTGTGGGGATTAACACTTTTCCCACTTGCGCCATCACCCACCCATCAAGCCTGTCTGTCCCTCTCACCATGACTCTAATCCGCTTTGCCCCAGCATTCACCCCCACCGAATAGGAACTCCATTCACTTGAGCTATGAATGTTACCAAGCTACTTGACCATGGAAGGCATTATAACAAAGTACTCACCCCACAACTTTAGACGTTGCATTTTTAACAACAACTTACATTTATATAGCACCCTTCGGGACGCTTTTCACCAAGGGGTCATTGAAGAGCAATCAGGAGCATTAACCACTGGTGATTTCCTCTCCATAACTCAGAAATGCTGATGATAGTTACAGCATCTACTACGGCTATGATCAGGTAACTCAGCATCAACTGCTTGTCGCATTTGGGACTTGCCTGCTCTGTATAGCTCCTTACTGTATGTCTGCTGAGTTACAGGAGAGCAGCATCTGAGTTTCTTAAAGAGAAAATGTAAGCAATACAATACAAATTTATATTTTTATATACTCCATATAACACCTTTCAATCAGGAGGACATCCTAAACCCAAAGCAATGATTCCTGTCAGCTCCAATATAAATTTTGTGGAATTGAGATACCCTGAGTTTATGTATTTAAGTGAGGTAAGTGTACTAGCTCATTTTCCCCTCTGAATAACCTGCAAACACTCACTATTAAAGCTCATAGAGTATTGCCACAAGATATCGGAGGGCTCCATTGAAATCATACTTTATAGGGGGAGGAAAAATAAGAACACCTTTGGAAATGGAGGAAAGAAAATTAATGTGAGAAAAAATAAGGAAACAAAAGGTGACAGTCGGTAGTGTATGGGGAGTAAATAGCTATGAGCAGCACATACTTTATCTTGTCTGTTACTATTGTACCTATTAATCTTAAAATTAGAGTTAGGCAGGTTAGAAACGGGATCAGAAAACATTTCACTTCTTCACAAATTGCAAGGTTTTGGAAAACATTGCCTCAGAAGGTGATAGAGCTGAATTAATTTGGATGTTTGAAAGGAAGATAGATAGATTCCTGGGAAGTAAGGTTTTAAGAAGCAGAAGAAATGGTGAGGAAACGGGATTATAGATCTGTAGCGATCCACACTAGGAATACAAGATGAAGATTCCTTTCCTGTTTTACTCTAATTATCTGATTTCAGAAAATATGGAGAAGGCCATAGCTTGGCCCAATTCACTGTTTTGGCAGAAGGAGATTTTATAGAGAGAAGAAATAATTAGGAAATAACATGAACAATAGCAATAGCTGTGCGCAATTGACTGCCATGTTTTGCCCACAAAATATACAGTCAATTCACTTTACAATATATTCTGTGATGCGTTTTGAAACATCTCAAAGATGTGATAAGACACTATATCAAATTATCAAATGCGAGGATTATTATTATTAACTAAAGTTAGACTTATCTGAATTATCCTGTTTTTTTCATCAACATGATAGAGATGTCACTTTTATCCATCAGTAGTGATATGTGCAGCATAGTGTTATATAAGTAATGGTTGAATTTCTTTAGGTAGTAACTGCCTCATGCTTCTAACCTAGTCGGCAACAATGAACCAATGCAGAATTGCAATAGATCGCTTTAAAGGACCATTTTCCCATTTTAGACATTTCCATAGCACCATCTACTGGCAATTCTTTGTCAATATATGAATCTTAAAGGAATACTTTGTTTTCAGAGCATGCCTTTCATGTGACAGTGAATTCAAATAATTCACTTAACTATTTTGTCAAGAAATGTCATGTTGAGATCAGCAATTGCTTTCTTTGTACTATTTTAAGTTTAACCAATTCTCTGCTGTGTTCAAACTATATTACCCAAGTCTCTGTATTAGGGAGGAAAAGCCAACCAGGTTTCATGCTGCTGATTTCTGTACAGTGATCTCTGCTGGAAATACTTGTGTGTTGATGTTGGGAACAGGATCTGGCTTGACTGCGATGCACTCCTTGGTCCAATAGCCTGTCAAAACTTATTTACTAAGTTTGCAAATGAAGAATGAATGCTTGTGCCATGGCTTCCAGTGACTGTGAACCATACCAGCAAGAGTTTGTCACTGCTGATGACAGCCCAGCCAGCCTGGCTCATTGGCAGGACCTGGAAAGGCAGACTAGTCACTGAGGGCAGGTAATTCTCCCACTCAGCTCCTGTTAACCCTGCAAGACAAAGCCCTAATGGGAAGGATGGTCCCAGCCAAACAAGCAGTGGGAAAACTACTAGACAGAAGAGTTGTTGAATTCACCAGCAGAGATGAGGAACAAATTGACAAGTGCTAACAGAGCAAATAGACCAGCTTGTGCATTGTTTTTAGCATTGAGTTAGAAATAAACAGATAAGATTGTAACAGACAGATCATCATCTAAATCTAGCATTGGGTAAGGAGGAAGGAAAAAAGGTTAATGTTTATATTTAAAGCCTAGGTCCTCAGATACTA